TCATCCAGTTACTTGTATACCTAGTATCTCTTATATATATCTTTAAACATATTCTAAACCTTTTTCTCAGTGGTTATTTTCTCCACATTTGGAAAACAAACAAAAAAAATGCCATGTAAAAATCTATTGTCAAGTCTGTCATAAAGACTTTTAAAACATATACATTCCACCTAACACTAAAAAACACATGCAAATACATCAGAGTTATTCACACCAGAGAACCAAAATAAAAAAACTAAAAAGAAAATTCAACTCAGATTAGTATTATATTTAAATTTGAAAACATTTATGGCATGACAGCCTTAGAGAGGGTGGCCATATTGGGACAAATGTGTACTTAATCAAAAAAAAAAGCAGATCTGTAGTCCTTTACAAAGGTGATGCATCTATGCCATTGATAACCAGACTGTTTTGAGAACATCACAATGGCAAGTCTCCTGGCATCCCAATTCCAGTTTATTAAGCATTTTTAAACAAAAATAATTAACACAAATTCTTCCCATGGATTGAAAGATGCCTATTTTTGATATCTTATGATGAAAAAACTGTGTTTCTTACAATCTTTTAAAATCAGAAACTGGAATACTACATTGGAATAAACCAGGTTTCCAACAACTTGGTTTTTTGATTTAAAAATACCAAAAATAAACATTAAACTGCCAAAATTAGTTGTATAATTGCTGCAGGGAGAAAACACACTAAAAGCCAATAAGCCAGCCTGTATCAGAGGAGAAGCAAGGAGCATAGACAGATGAAGCCAGAATCTAGTCAGGGTAGGTGTGGCTGACCTTAGTAGCAACCATTCTCCCTTTCCCCCCACATTCCTTGTCTTGCAAAGATCGCACAGGCGCAATGCAAGACTTTACAGTGTAGCAGCAAGGTACTCAAAGGGACAGAGAAATACATTATTTATTTTGGTGACATTGCTGCACTGAAATCTCCGGAAGAGAGGGAGAGAAGCCATGATGCTCCATAGCTTGAAGCAAAAGTCAAAGCACGAGATTTATCAAGGCACAAGATCCACCTGATACCTTTTTTTCACAGAAGTCATTATACTCAGTTGCAGAAATGATAAGTAAATATCTAGCTTGTATATGATGTCAGACAAAATGATCAAATAATCCTTTTTGCATTAAAGTCTGTGCATCTTTGATTTGCTCAGAAATGTTTTATTTTATGCTAGAATGGATTTAGCTACATCAAATTACCAGAAAAGTTAAGAAATGGAGGAGGAAAAAGCTTCTGTACCGAGATGGAAATTAATAAATAAAATCTCACCTCAAACTTAAATCCAAACCTTATGTAAGGTTTGCTAGTTTCTCTTAAATAGTTATAATACTTCCACTAGACGGAGATGGTATTATGAGGATATGGTATTTACATTGGGCCTTCACACTTCTTGTTGTTTTCTCTCCAACAATTACAACATATTTTCAGCAGGTACCATCCCTCCTTTGAAGTTATTCCTTTGCATTCTGTATTTACTAGCAGAACTAATAGTTTGTGGTGATACATTATATACATACTAATTTTGATTTTATTTTCATGCAGATTTAGATTTGCACTGGAATAGGATGAATTTCTGTAACAGCATGAGTGGAGACCTCCTATGGTTGGTGATGACGGCTGAATGACAACTGTAAATTGAGGACCAGTCATAAAGCTTGTTAGAAAACAAAACTAATAGATGGGAGGCTCTCACTGACTGATAAGCATAACAACACATACATTACTAGAAACTGTAAGAATTTTTTAACCTTGTGGTATTATGAAATATGGTTGATTAGATTACCTTTTTTCATCACAAGAAAAATCCTTAGGTGTTTACATATGGGGAAAAAATGAAAGGTGATTTATATTTCATTATTAACATGGCAATCAATCTAATTTTTTTGAGAGTCCCTAAATGTTCCTTATTTAATGAGAGCTGCCAGTAAACCAAATGGATGACTCTTCCATTCAGGTTTCAACATGCAAACTCATTTTAGATAGACATCCAGCTAGGCTAAATCAGTTCTTCTTCAATGCAGTCACATACGTTCTTAACCAATCCACAAACATACTCATATGAAAATGATAATTTTGGAAATCTGCTTATCTACTGAGCATCCTACATAGAAGTTCTTATAATCTGAATGCTTTTCTGGTTTTGTGAAAAAAACCTTTTTAGCATGTAGGGAAAGTAGTGTAATAGGTCAGCAAGGGTTATAATGGAAGAAGCAATGAAATCAATGGAAAAGAAAAAAGTAAAGAAAAAGCTAACAAATGTTATTCATGCATACCAACATAAACCTTTACTGTATATATGTTGGAATAGTTTTGAGAGCATAAATCTTGATAGTTTTGCTAAAAAAACAGTGCTACTGCATGCTGTAGCTTCATAAGGACAGCTTTCTTGTATTAATGTTTGCCAGAAAATTAATACAAATTAAATATTACAATAAAAATATTAGCTCTTTATTAAAGTTCTGAAGCAGAACTCAGAATTACATTAAATAATAAAGAAAAAAGTGAAAATAAAATTAAGTTTAAAATACTATCTTTTATTGAATTCTGCATAATACAAATAGCTTACCTGCTTAGGAGTAAATTAGATTTTTTAATTCATTTATCTAAAAGACAGTTAATTAAATTTACCTATTTTTTATATTTGACTTTTAACCTGAGCTCTTGTTTCTTTCTTTCTTTTAACTTAAGCTAGATGTATAAGAAAGAGTTAACATCATTCATATAATTATTTGCTTATTACATAATGTAATGATTTGATCAGTGAGGGTGATAAATGACAAAACAAGTGAAGTTATCAGCTGAAAAGAGTAAACAGAACTAGTACCTCTATGGCAAAATAAAGAGAACTTGTGATGATCACATATATTGATAAATAAATTCTTATTAATTTCTATATCCCTTTTCTCTATATGAAAATTCTCAAAACTAATTCAAAACTGGAAAAAAATTTCTGCATATTATTCCAGCAAAACAGTCTGGATACAGGTTATTTTGATCACTCCAATATATCCTCTATACAAGAATGGAAATAGTTATGATGGTAAAGATCACATGAGGCTCACAAGTGAAACAAGCTCTATCTATCAAACCTGCAATTCAATGAAAGTATTACATTGCTCTATTTAATTCAGTTTAGTTATGCCACCTAGTAAAATTAAAACAGACGTGGTGCTTTTGAGTGAGCTTAAACTGAACCTTTCATGTTTCAGTTAATTCTTGTATGTTTCAGCTGAAACACACTTAGCCTAAAATTATTTTCTAAAACCATGTTATGGCCACTTCTTTAGCAACAAATGTACTTCTGATGTACTCTAATGTATCCTTCTTATACAACTATATTAAGCAGAAGAAATAACAGCCTAAGAAACAGAGAAAATTATTTTAGTGCCAAAATGCAATTTAATAATTGTTGTTTAACTAGCAGTATTTTTTCCTATTCTTAACAGTGAGTTGAGGCAGCAGTATAGAATTTATTTTGAGCAACTAAAACAGGCTATTTTACTGACACATAGAGAAAGAGAAAAATGCTGCTAAAGCCATGAACTTTAGCTTTCATTCAGTGTTGGCAAATTCTACTTTTAATTTTCAAAAAAAACCCAAAAACAAAACTGGTTTTTAATTTGCAAAACTAAAGGTGTGGAGTTCTGACATTCAAATAGTTCTAGGATTTTCAGCTTCAAAGTAACTCTACTACTCTTCATTTGTGTTTACATTTAAGCCTCAACTGTTTTCACAGACAGTTAAGCATCTGAAATCTGAAAGAGCAATGACCCCTTTTTCAGAAACTCTGTTCTTCTATTAAGTCATGCAAAATACAGGCAAATGCTAATATACACTCTTTCTTACAACTCAAGTATAAAATTCTCTGTTGCTATGAAATCTCGCACTATATTCAGGTGGAATAGTTATACTATTCATGAATTATGACTTCAGAATTTTTGTTTTCAGGAAATAATACTGCATTTTTGGATAAATACTGGGGTTTTTTTTGATAAAGTAATAATTTCTTGCATGACACCAAAAATTGTATTTATCCATACCAATCACCTTAAGATTCAAATTAGAGAGAATTTTCATATAATCTACATTAATTTCTAAAAATTAAGTCCCCTAACTCAACTGCCTTTTTGAATACTAATGAATCTGTATTATCACTGATGCTTTATATCCTTTTTATATTTTTAAACTGCTGCTACCCTATGTTTCACAATTCTCTTCCTCATTACTTCCAAATCTCTATGTGCAGAAAAGAATACTCAGAAGCATGAGGTAAAAGTACTCCTTAGGGCAGCAATGGTAAGAGTAGTATAAATCATTTTTCTAACTGAAATATAGGCTGATTAAGTAAGATTTTAGGCAAAGTTCTCCATGCCCATGTTTTTTTGAGAGTCCACATGTATCCACAATATTCTATACCATTGTTGTAACAGAATGCATCCTCCCATTGCACTGTCAGACATTTCCACAAGAGCTTTTAATCTGAACACAATTTAGAGACATACTACAGATAAGTAAGAATGAAGTGTTAAAATATATTACCTCAGTATTCTGAAAATTCGGAAATTTTTTGAAATAAGCTACCAAAACTATACTAATATCAGGCAAAAAACTTGTTAAATGCAGGGAAGTTACAGATACTGACCTATAACTTACATTATTTAACATTTACATCTAACAGTTACACTCAACAACACTGTATTTTTCTTATGTTTTCAGAAAAATTACAAAATGTTTAAATTTAACATATGAAATGTAATTATTCACAAGCTGTCAAGGGAAAGGTATGCCTTCATGATTAAGTTTTCACAGTATTCTTACTCTTGTATCTTATACATATGTAGTGCCTTTTTTACAAAAAGTACTGTGTAGTCCTCATTCTGACAACATAATATCGCAATGCATTCTGTCACAGAAACTGTGTCAGGCTGCAAGAACCTCTGAGTGACTACGAGACTCCTTTCAAAGGTTTTGCATCAGTCTGAAATACTTACTGTCGCTGGGGAGGCCCGCGTTGTGTGAGTCACTGTATGACCAGAATTTTCCATTGAATTGCCAATCAGATAGGTCCCTCCTGAGCTGCTAATGAGTTGTCCTCCTGTTACGCCCATCTGAATCCCTCCAGTGCCCACCATGCTATGAGACGAGACCACTGTTGTCACCTGTGCAGAACTTCCTTGAGTATCAAAATAATTTCCCCCAGTGTTTTGACTGTACATCTGGGTTTCTGTGTAAGGATAAGTTGTTGATCGGCTTCAAGAAAAGAAAATAAAAGAAAAGGAAAATACATTATTTGTATTTAATTTAGCTGAGTGTAATGTTATAACACTAGAAATTGATTTACAAAAACTAAAGTCAAATCAAACAATCCTTGTGTCCTCAGAGAATAACAGCTAATCAAATCAAAGATTTAAGTAATAAACTCAGTATCAATGGTAAGCCAAGTATCCACCGAACATTATAGAAAAACTGTCAGTCTTACAGAAAGAGTAAGAGAGAATGGAACAACAACAATTGAAGGCAGGCACATAGAGCTAATCTAATTATTAATATATTGCAAAGTAATCTACAAAGCCCTGCCTGCATCAACGTTTTTTTAAAATTAAAAATATACAATAGAAATTCAAGTCAGATGCTATATATTTTGCATAATGTGTAGTTTGCAAAGTTACAAACAATTCATACAAGTATCAGCTAACAGAGACCAATGTTCAAGAATCCTCTGCTGTCAATTGTTTTTAAATTCACTGAAGCTCTTGACTGAAGCTTGAAAATCTGAGTCTGCTGGTATTTTGGGAAATGCAGTTATTTTTACAGGGCAAATTCAAAATTAGACATGAATTCATGTAATGATAAAAAATGGCATTTAAGAAATAAAACAAATAGAACTATAACTTGTAAAACCATCACAAATATTAGAGAAGTTAAAGGAATGCAACAGTAACATTTTAAAAATAATTATCAAGTATGAAACATTTACATGTCATTAAACATTTCACCCTGATAAACTATTCAGCTACTGAAATCTTCTATCATGTTCTTATTTACTTTGAATCATTACTCTTCATGTGTTATAAGCTACTTACAGTTTTTGAATCTGTATTTGTTCCTGCTAACTAAATTTGATATTTAACTCTAAGTATTTCAAAATTATAAAGTAAATATAATTAATTATTTCAAAGACTGGATCTTTGTATGTTGACAAGCATGATAAGAAGTAAAGATCAGTCAGCTTACCCAACCATTTATTTTCTTATTTAAGCATAAAAATCTGTAACATTTCTTGTAATCTACAGGCAATATCAATTTATACAGCGGGTAACTAAACAAGTTTATAAAAACCACAACAACCAACAACAAAACCCCAAACATTTTTGTACAGAAACACAAGAGGTGGATGCAACACTCATGTTTTATGCAATAAACTGATGATTAATACATATATGCAAGAACCTGAAGTCAGGCTTTTCTTCCCCTTTATCTATACAATATTTATTTATAAATTAATATAGAGAAAAGTCAAGGCAATTTACTGTTGTTGTTTTTTAATTATGAAAACTTATATAAGATTACTTAATTAGTAAACAACAGACCCAGAAATTATAATTGCTTCTTTACCTTTAGAAAAGCATTACTTCTAAATATTTGAGGAACATAATAGCACGTCACCAACAACCAAAGTCAGAACTTTTGCTCTAATAACTATGGCTACAACAGTGTCTCCCTTAGTCTGCCAAGACTGCCAGAATCTCCAAACTTAAGTTTCAAAATCTGAAATATTTCACAAGCTTCATACTACCTTACTCCCTCTTACCTCTCTTTAAGTTACTTAAACACTTTCCATTTTATTTTGAGTATTTCAAAAGCCTCAAGATCAGCTGCAAAAAACCTAGAAGCTAATCCAAAAGAAATGCATTGCAGTCTGCTGAAAACAAAGCAAAATGTTCTTTTAGGGACTAATGCTCAAACAAACATTTAATCTATTAAGCTTTTTTTTTTGAAATTAAAGTCAGTTGATTTTTGCATTGCAATAACGTATGTATATATTGAGGTACTGTGCAGGTCCTGGTTAATCTGTTCTCTCAAGCCAAGGTATCATGGTGATCTCTTGTGATACCTTAGGGATATTGTTTATCTTAGAACCTCAGGAAAGATCTACTGAGTTGTTAAGGTGCAAAAACATATCGCTAAATGCTGCCTCTTCATCCCTAAATCACCTCCCCACGTGCCACATCTAGATGATCGTGAACATTTCCAGGGATGGTGGCTCCATCACATCCCCACATTGCCTGTTCCACTTCTTGATCATCTTTTGTGAAGAAAGCGAAGAAATTTTTTCTTAATGTCTAACCAAAGTATCCCTTGGTGCACCTTGAGGTCATTCATCTTGTGATGAGCACAGAACCACTAACAACTGGATGTTACCTCTGTCTTTACATCTGTGAACAGTGCTATGCAGCAGAGGACAAATGTAGGGAAATGGTGTGATGTAGGCTCAGGGGAAACAGTTCATGGAAATTATCACCAAGTGACTTACACTGTAATTTCTCTCACAAGAGGAAAGAAAAATCTTGGTATCAGCTCTCAGTAAGGAAAGTAATGAAAGGATAAGATCATTGCTGACAGCAAAAATAATGTCTAGAGGAAATACATTGTACAAAAAATGCAAGGAGAACAACTCTCACTTGCAAAAGTAGAATTGAATATTGGAAGCAATGCAAATCCTAGAGAATGCTTCAAATTTTGAAGACAATTTAGTCATAGATTTGCTGTGGAATAGAAGATGAAATATTTGTTTGCTTTTACCTTGTTAAGGTATATCTGTGTATCATATGTATCATCTGTAGACCTCTGTATCACACATGAACTCTAAATAAGGACTGAATGTAACAGAGCACCTATTTCTGCTTATAATAGCACTCTGTATCAGTGCATCAATGGGACACATCAATAGGTTTGACTCAAAAATAAACACATTCCTCCAACAACCAACCAGCTTTGCTAGAACACTCCATCATTGGAGATGATTCAGCAAACCTTTCACAACAGAGTTTGACTGTGTCCTTAAAAGTGAGATGAAATTATTATTATTATTACATGCAATAATAATTGCAACTTAGCAAAGAGACATTTAATTTAACCAAAATTATTCAATCTGGAAATTAAAAATGCAGCTGGATAAGATGATGTTTTAGAAAGCAGTTTTGAGAAATTATGTTTTCAGAAAGCAGACCTAAATGTTTTAAGGTACATGGTAACACAACCCTTTAAAACAAAGTTGCAGCAAAGAGGAAAATAAATTCAAATAAAGAAGAGATCTTGTATTTCTCCACAGCACGTATAGCACAAATATGTTATACTTTCTCAAATAGCCTGACACATATCATAGTCAGTTCCTTCACACTACAAAGGTTGTAAAAACATTCCTAGCTCTTCTCTCCTTGAACAGCTGCATACAAAATCACACAGGGAGTAACCTTAAAGTTTTCTTGCTCTTTAGGAGAACATACTGATGATTAACTTATGCTTGAGATAGCCAGAAGGCAACAAACCCGATAGTTCCTACTACTGAAATACTGTGAAGTTTGATGCTTACTAGAATGTGGCATTAGAAAGCTTACCAGTTACAAGTAAATTTAAAGTCTAAGTATTTAGGCTGCAGTATCCTAGTTTCCAGAAGGCTGTGCAAACCAGATCATGCTTACCCTGACAGCAAGCAACAAAAAGTCAGGCACTGTGTGAATTCAATTCAAATTAAGCAAGTCAAGAGCAGGTGCCTGATGTTAAGATCCCACACTAGAAATTAAGAATACCAGCAAGAGTTGGACTAGCATTGCAAGGTACAATAATTCAAGGCACTTCCTATTATGCCTCACTGCTTGCTTACATACATTTTATAATGATTTGCAAAATATAATATTAGAAATAAAAGAGACGGATTTATGGTATAAAGTTGTTTAAAACATAATTTTTTTGCACAAGAAAACAGAAAAGAATTAATTTCTACATGCAGTAAGCCCCAGCACTAGCATGCAAATCAATTGCAATGTCTTATCCTACATTACAGACTCTAATATAATGTTACTGAGCCCAACTTTTACAGACACTTCTGTCTCTTCAAAGATACTGACATTCTGAAAAATGGAGAAAAGTAAAAACAATGGCACAGAAAGAGTAAACTTTTTCTTGTCCTCCCTTAGTTTTCAGTGCACATGCGCACATTGGAAATAATTTATTCCCATCTGCACCTATGACCAGATTCACATAAATATCCAATCCACTGACTACTATATATATCTGTTAAATCTTAGAAAACCTCCATATCAAGAAATTCTTTCATGTCAGAACAATATCCTCAAACTTTGTTAAGTTTTTAGGATAATTCTGTGGTTCTTAAGTTAATAGAGAGCTTCACAGAAACTAAAGAGAAAAAAATCCTTTGTCTAATACTGAGGGAAGGCCTTACCACAGCCAGATTCTGGAGGTGATGTATCCTAAGCAAAGAGAAGAAAAGGAAGTGCCATACACCCTGAGACTGTAACAACAAAACATGATACAGCTATTTAATTACAATGGAGAGGCATTTATTAGTCATAAAAAAGAACTGAGATCTTCAACACTCAGTCCAGGACCCTTTTCCACATGGAAACAAAGCAATAAAAGCACACACAATGCACAGCTACAGAAAGCCCTGCAAGCCAGGGAATATAGCAAATGAAAACAAAGGTGCAATTCTATAAATTTTATTCTCAGGATCTGTAATTTAGAGAATTAAGGAAACATTAATTAGAAATTTCTAAAATTCTGATGAAGTACAGCAGACCTTTAGTCCAAGAAATATGGTATTGCTACTGTTAGGAACGTGTCAAAGGGTACATACTAAATCTGCAAGACCTCAGGAGTTGAGCTTATCAGGCTCTCTTTGTCTAGGCTTCTCTGTCTTAGTCTAGAGTTTTGTTCTAGCAGTGATTACTGAACAATTAGATAAATGTTACTTAATCTGTTTTCATTTTATCTTAGCTTTCTATGACTGTGTGGTATGAAACCAATAATTAAAATTATGAGGCATTGCCCTGTCTAACAGACTTTAATATCAAATAGCTATTCTGTACAGGATAAACAATCCTGGACCCTAGACCACACTGTAGCAAAGAGAACCCTGAGCTGGCATAACAGTATTCAAGAAGTTTCCATTCTGGCAAAAACAGACCACATAAAACAAATTCAGATAAACTATGGAAATGAAAATCAGTGAATAATGGACAAGGTATAGACTGTGCTAGAACACAAAAATAGCTCCAAGTGGACACACTGTGCCATCCTCACCACCCATCATACATTGTCCCCACGTAATGCCTGTGATAGTGGTAAATTGCTGTAACTCTCTCTAACTCAGACAGGAGCCATTCACCTTAGTATGCATATGGGTAGTAAAAGGAAAAGGATAATGTCAGAGAAAAAGGGATAGATACTAGTAACTAGTAGAAAGAGAACAATTTTAACTGTATTTATAATAATTATTTAACCATTAAGATTTCAATTAGGGTAATAGTAAATTCTTGGGTTGGCATAAATGGTGCATTTTGCCAACATAAACACAACAATTTGTTGTACAACAAGTTGGTGAAGAATGTGGTTTGGATCCAAGAGCAATATCAATCCTTGTACAATCCCAGCAATTAAAACCCTCTTTCCTGCATCAGAACTACCAGATAAGTGGCTACATTTTATTCATCTGTTACAATCTGCAAGAAGAAAGTTCACGTCTAGTATGCGGAACCAATTGATTTCTTAACATAGGCGCAGTAATAATAGTCTTAATATATTCTGAACAGTCAGGTAAGCCTGTACATGCCACTGCAACAACAATGCACTTTTGTTTCAGGATAGTGACATGCTTGACAAGCAAAACTGTTGTTAACGAGAGACAAATGTAGATAACGTAATTCAAATATTCTCATATCATACAACGTATGTGACAAGTTGTGGGATACACCTCTTGTATAATTATATTGCCTACAATTATAATAAAATCAAATAACTTTTAAATGTAGACAAATCATGATATAAAATGTGTGGGAAGAATTGTATTATAGGCATATAACAATTACGCTTGACAAAGACTGTGAAACCTGACAAACATCTTAGTTTTATAATGCAAATAATTAGGCAACTTTTTCCTGATATATATTGTAACTGCATCCTTTGTTGCCACTGTATATGGATATAAATCAGTGCTACTTTGCAAGTGCTGTATTTTAAAATAAAGGATAATTCTTTCACAGAATTGTAGAATGGTTTGGATCAGAAGGGACCTTAAGGAACTTCCAGTCCAACTCCCCCCACCATGGGCAGTGATACCTTCCATTAATCCAGGTTACTCAAAGCTCCATCCAACCTTGTCTTGAACAGTGCCAGGGATGCGGCATCCACAACTTCTCTGGATTACCTTCTTTGCCACACTCTGAGCCAAGAATTTCTTTATAATATCTGTCTCATCTAATCTAAATCTCTCATTTTTTAGTTTAAAACCATTGCCCCTTTAGCCTATCATTATCTGCTGGTAAAAGAAGTTTTTCTCCCACCTTTTTTGTAAGCCTTCTTTAAGTAATGAAAGGTTACAATAAAGCCTCTCAATCTGTCCTCAAGTGTCCTTGTAAGAGAGGTGCTCCAGTCCTCTGGTCATCTTTGTGTACCTCTTCTGGACCTGCTCTAACAGGTCCATATCTTTCTAACTGCTGAGGACCCTAGAACTGGACACAGCACTCCAAGTGAGGACACATGAGAGCAGAGTAGAAGGCAATGTCTTTCATCAGCCATGCTAAGACAATTTATTCCAGAGATTCTCATACGAATTAATGTCTTCACCCTAGCTATGGTTTGCAGACTTCTTATTCTGTTGCCAGAGGAGTACTGTTGCTTGATAGATTACAGAAAAATCCTATACCTGATTTTGAGTTAGAATTAAGATTTTGATTTATCATAAAAAATATATCAAACACAGAATCATAGGAAGACTACACAAAATCTGGTGTATAAAAGCATGTGGGAAATGTGCTTCACTATATAGAATCTTTAAAAAGTCTGAGTAGAAACATAGACTGGGTCCATTCCCCATCAATTAAATTCCAATCTCTAAAAAGGCTAATCTTCCTGTAAAGGTTGAACAACAAGTTGCTCGTCCACTACATCGCTGCTTACAATAACATCGGTAAGATCTTCTTTGTAGGAGGGAAAAACAATCTAGATTTGGCTCACATGTTAAGACGAGCTTTCCTCTATTATATCCTGATTTTGCAGCAACTCACAGAGGAATTCAGATGCAGAAATACAATAAAATAGTGGAAATACAATAATATAATGGATACCTGAAAGTTCATACTAAGCAGTCAGTCATATATGTTTTTCCCTTGGACTATAGTAAGTCGTGTAGTACACTTTTTATACACTGCCAAAAGTCCCAACAGCATACGTAAGAACTTAAAAGTAATGAAAGAAAAGATAAACTTGAAAAATAGCATATTTAAGAATAACCTCTTTTGGAGGCTACTAAGTTCTATCATGGCCACAATGACTTGATGCTGCTATATGTGTGTTCTGACTTTGGCTGGGGTAGAGTTACTTTCTTCACAGTAGATGGTGTCAACGCCATTTGTAGCACAAGTCTGAAACACAGCTGTGTACTAGCTACTAGGAAGAAGATTAATCTATCCCAGACAAAACCAGTACAACAGAGAAGTCTAATGCATATTTAAAATACATTGTTTAGGATTTACAAGTGAGAAAAAAGCCAGAGAAGACAGTACATGAAAAATTAATAAATCAAAATGTGCTAGTAGAAATTGCCAAAGAACACTGTCAGTGTTAGCATCCTAAATCTCTGAATCCAAATAATATTACTCTTTTGAACTGCTTTTGGATTACCAATAAATAATTATCTTCAGACAATCAAAAAGCTTTTTAAATTGTACTTCTTAATAAAGCCAGTTAGAAAGCAAAAATGGTAAATGAAGGAATGACATTGAGAAGCTCCTTCCCAAGCAATGCAGTCTACTTTGAAGTTCGAGCCAGCTTCAAAGGTGCTGTTGCTCCAAGTCTGTTATTAGACTAGGTAAATGTCTAGAGGTCAGATGAAATCTAGATTTTTTTTTTTTAATCTTTCTTAGCTTGGGTATTGAAGAAAGAAACTTGATGATGAAAAACTTGTTCAGGAAAGCAGGAAATGCACAATCATGTGAAAAAAGATGTTAAAGAAACAGCAAATGAGACTGTTAGTTTCCTTCCTCTGCTTTTCCTCATTCCTTTGGAAAAAAAACAAACTGATCTCATTTTATGAAACACATGAATTACACACATTAGCACTTACTTTCTTTAGATAGCAACTACAGCTGCTGCACCTCTCTATCATTTGCCACTAGGATTGCAGTCGGGAAGACAGAAGGCCCTACCTTTTGTCTTGAGGATAGAAGTTATACATGTGTTTTAGACAGAATGTAGCCATGAACCAGAAGATACTTTTTCAAACAACACTATGCCATACAGGGTGCAACTAAAACAATCACAAGAATTCTACTTACACAAAAATTCTGCTTAATAAAAACAAATAATATGAATTCACATTTTCATCAAAAAAGCTATTTTGACACTGGAAGAACTGTAATTGAATAATTTTTCTTTCTAAATTAATATACAGTAGTTGATAGAAAATGTGTATTTAACTTCACATTTTAATGCACATTAAAATTCAAACCATTTTCCAACTTACATAGCTCCATTAGTGTAGACTGTGTCACTTCCCTCCACATACTGAACCTGGGCTGGGTAGACATGCTGTACCTGCTGCACAGTCTGTACTTGCTGTACCTGAAAACAAGAAAACCAGAAGATCAGGATATCCAATGGTCCAGTGCACCTAGTGGCTTCTAAACAATTTGGGATACCTCAGTTCCCAAAATTATTAAAGGTACATCACACCACTAGCAAAGAAAATTTTTGTTCTTACACAATATTTATGCTGTAAGTTTGGTGAACAGAGTGCTAACACTGAAGATGCACACTCATACACATCTTCAGTGCCAAAGGCATAACTGGAGAGCACAAAGATAAGATGAAGTGTAACTTTGGTTTCTGCCAAGCTGAAGAATTACACTACAGAAGAAAGTATCATTTCATTACATTTATGCTTTTTATTATTCTTTTTAAGTAGTAAATAGTACAAGCCCTAAAATCATAGCTCAAATATGTTGCAGTAAGTTTAGAAATAAACAATCTCATTAAGATTCTTTAGCTCTTGTATAACTGGAGTTAAATTACAGTGATGCAAGATTTTTTTTGCAGTGTACATTTATGGGCCAAACCCCCCATTCTGAGTAACCCCTTTCTCAGAATATTATTAGCTGTTAAAAACTCCAACACAGCCTGGTTTTACTTCAATGAACTAAACAAGAAGAGGAAGTAAGGCATGGATTATCTTCACATGTATCACTAAGGACAGCTACTAACCAACTCCTTTGATTCATATACTATTGTAGGAATGTTTCAGGTTATGCAAATATTCTCTCCAATTCTAACTTTTTGTCTTCTGCCACAGTAAAGATGAAGAATTTAGTCTTTAACATCTTCCAGCTTTCAGAGAAGCCATTATTTTGGTCCTACAGCAGTCCATAATCTAAAACATGGTAAAGGACTCACTGAGACTTCACAGATTGACACAATTTTACCCAAGGAATTGAATCAAGAAAGTATCAATGCACTTATTTAGCAAATAGATTTAACATTAGGTGACAATAATTTTTCTCATATTTGATGCTATAAGGCTACTTCAATCTAAACCATTTGGTTCTAATGACTTCCAACACCACAGTCCCAGATCAGTCTGGGTTTCATGCATTTGATGAACCAACTCCAAAAGCTCTTTAAAAATATCCTTATCTAATATTTTCACTTGTGTTGTGTTTCAAAAGATTCTGCAAATAAGCACATTTCCTACTTTTCCATAACATTGACTCTGACATGAAACAAAAATCTAGACTTTTACAGAAACTTTCCCTTAGGTTGACAGTAAAACCCAAAGTCTAAAAAGGAGAGAAAACAGCCAAAGTTTAGAATGCAGCTATATTACCATGATGAAAAATCAGATGCTTCTGTCCACTAACATCAATAAGGCAGAACATGATGGCTAAGATACCTATTAAAATCCAAACTTTTATGATTTCCCACATGAATCATTACATAAATTGAGAAATACACCTGAAATACAATTTCTCAACTTCAAAAAGTATAGTTTGAAGATGTCTGCTTAATTATTAAAGCAAAGTGTGTATATTTCTTCTCCTAACAATATTCAGTTATTTAACAGAAAGATTCAGTTCTCAAAATAATCACAAAAAATTATAATCAAATTATGCACATTACTAAGACCTTAAAAAATTCTTTAAATTAAAAAATAGAAATGGCCGTATTGTGCAAACATCTTCCAAAATTAAATTATTTCTATTTCCATCACTTTTGACTTCATAACCTAAATTAATTCAAATCATCATTCCATGGAATGGGCTTGATCCAAATCCACTGTAAGAAAGATCTGTAAGCTTGTTATTAATCTGTACCTCTCAAAACTCAGATCTGCCAAACTCTGACAAAACACATGCAATAATTGGCCAAACATATATGTTTTATTGTGAAACATATATGCAACTTACTGTGATATTTTTTAAGTTTAACTGTAGGTATATTTCTTCCTTTTGGGTGAGTCAATTCTATGACCTTCAATCAGTGGGAAAATGGGGGTGATCTACTTGACCTATGCTGGGAGAAAACATCTCGAAAATGGGCTTTGTTCTTAAAACCAGTAGCTTGTCACCTGACATGTAATGGATATGCCCCCTTTTCTCCCTCAGTAGCACAGCTGGGGAAGCACTGTGGAAATGATGCTGTTGTTAGTATCAGTTCTGTGTTCTCACCCAACTACTCCCAAAATGCACTTTGTTCCCTATTCACACACTCTGAATATGGCTTAGTTCCTATTAAAAATAACCCACACTATTTTGCTCTTAATAAAGGAGATATGGTTTTCTCCCTACAACCTGACTACACTGGTAAAATTGTGTACAAACACAGCATTAAAACAGAGAGGTCACATTCCCTTTCTATATAAGGCATTATTATATCCTCACATTATTCTTGAATACAAGCTGCTACTCATTTCAAAAGCACCAGATTCAGCACAGTGCAAGACCTTTCTGTCAGAACTGACACGATACTGCAGGGATAAAGTGTGTGCACAATGCATCAGCGTTTGCTGTCTATTGGATAGGAAACTGAAAAATTCAAAAATGTATTTCTCTTCTAATATGGAGTAAGAACAACAAAAATTTAATTTACCATGAAACAAAATACCAAATTTTGTTAAAATTAAAATTTTAATTGCTTAATTTCAATTTTCCAGCAGTTTTAATGTAAGTCCTCTAATAGCCTATCATGTAGTACTACTAGAAACATCCAGACTGTTTATGCATAGAAAGTAATTTATTTTTTAAACCAGTATTTAAGAATGGATATACTACAGTGCTATTAAACACTGTACCTACTTTTCAAAAAATGAAAATGTTTTTCCTTCAACACTGAAGTTCAATACAAAGAGGGCCACTGAATTATTTTTTTCTTCAATATAGTAATTTAAAAAGTTTACACAAAAACTTTGCTTCAGCTTCTCTGAAACTCCGTACTGCTACAATTAAATTCATTATCCTGCCAAAGGAAGCTGTAGTCACTACATGGTACTGCAATGTACTAAGAATTTCAGGGTGGGGAAGGTTAGAGGCAAATATTTTTTCTGTCAAGCTATGAAAAATAAAATAAGTAAGGAGCCTCCAGGATGGCCTTGTATATGAAACCTCTGCCATGATGAAAGTCTTTTTTGTATGATATTTCCAACACTAATTTTATTTCCTATTTTATTTCATTTTTAATGCTTTAATGAGAATTAAATCTAGTGCCTCTGAATCTTCTCTTTAATATTCAACAGAAAGAAATTACATATGTATATTTACTCTCTATAAGCATAAATTATTTGAGAGGAGTTAGTTATGAGGAAACAAAACACCATGAAAATTGTGGAAAATATGAAAAAGGTGGGTTTTTTCTTCACATCTGTTTTATTTACCATTATCTTGTATTAATCTGTTAAAGGAGTGCTATCACCTACATCACGTAGTTCTTGGAGCAGAGCAGAAATTGTTGAACTATTCTTGCAGAGTTTTCCAGAGGCCTAAAACTAAATGGCCTTCTTGTATTAAAAAATACTCCAATAATTAATTGAAATGGGCTCAAAATAGAAAACACAATAAAATATTTATAAAACAGCAACAGTATGTAAGTTCCAAAATTATGCTCTAGGGTGGGCAGGTGAAATAGCCATGGTAATTTTCATTATTTTCTGGCTGGGAAACAGAAAATTAACAAACTTGAATGGCAATTTTTGACTTAAATAAGGTCAGATACTAGAGCTTTCATTCCTCTTGCTTCAGTGACTCTAGCCTGAAATAAAAAACTGAAAACTGGAATAGGATTAGAAGCAAGCAGCTGAAATGTCACAGGACAAGAGGTGAATGAGACTTATTTCAATACACATGTGTAGCAATATTTACTAGCTGAAGAAGAAAAAAAAAAGGCAAAGATAAATTGTATTCTTAATTATACTACCTTAGAGGAACAAATGAGGGATTAAGATATATTTTTTCTATGAAAATTTGTCAACAAAAATAAAGTGGATAAAAGCATACTGAAATTACATTGAAGCATGAATCAAAATGTAAGAGTGAATGCTGATTTCTAATAAAAAGTGCTTCTGTTCAAAATACTACTAAGCAAAGACCAGAAGAACAGAGCAATATATATATAAGGGTTTTTAAATTCCATTTTAAAAAGAACATATAATTATCCACTGTGTCTTTGCAAACAGCTTGGATGTGAAAACATTTTCTGTCCTTGGAGATAAAAATAATTTTTTCCTTCATTAGTATGGATTACCTTTGGCAAGTAACATATAAATAGCACATGCTGTAATATTCTAAGCACATTCATATTTATATAATGGCTAATGTCAGCTCATGATTATGTGTTTCATATGCTAAACATGATTTTGCATTAGGAGCAATTCTGATTAGCAGAAGTCTGTATCTCCAGTTAATGAATGATAGAACGCTTTGTGAATGCGATGGCCACAAAATTCAGTGACTGTGAAGAAATGCTTTGCCCAACTTCAGATGCATGGATATACTTCTATGAAATAACTTAGTTTTATTTCTCCAATTTTTCCATATCACATGGTATAAACTCAAAAGTGAGCTTAATTCTGAATCCTTAAAAGCTTACTGCACTGAGCTGAAGACTGCCTGTTGAAAAAGCAATCATTAATTAATGAAAAATCCCTGTATTCAAGGAAACAGAAGACTAAGAGAATTCCTTAAGCTATTTAAACAGAATGTAATTACACTCCCACACTTTTGGTTTTACTGTTGTTGCTTTTTGCTTCTTATTGCCCTCTATTCCCTCTTAACAATGACTTCTTCTGTGTTGCATGAAACCAGTTGCCACTAAAGCTACTTCTGCAAGAGGGAAAATCAAGGTTTTCATAAATGGCACCTTTATTGTTCCTATTCTCGGAGCATTACAGCTGACTTTTATGAGCAGTATATTAATACCAACTATATGGAAATTAGGGATTTGTTTTAGCCGGAAATATTAAAAGTTACTCATTTGTTGATTGTTTTTTCAAAAGACAGGGTGCTGAGGATTAATGCTGCTGAAGAGAAAAGGCTCCTAGTCTGCCTTTCCACTTATTCAGCTTTCTCTTCTTCAGGGCAAAATATTAATTTCAAAAAAATGTAAATTTTTTGTGCATGTAAGAAACACGATGTCATGAAATCAACCCCAAATTAATGCATTCGGGCAATGTCATTTAAATATGGTGTACATACAGGAATAGAACCTTGGGAAACAGAAACCACCCTAGAAAAATGAAATACTATACATTTAATATTATTAAAAAACAAATTCATCTAAAATTGCATTATTCACTAGAAAGTAGTAATAAATTACTGCAAATCATGATATGGAAGTTTCAGCTTGCACTGAATTGTTCTATATACATGAATACTCATGTTACAGTATCCTTGAATTTAACAAAATTCCAGAATTGTCCCATTGTTTTTAGCAATGTATATTCACAAGAAAATCTAATCAAAATTTGAATATTCAGACATAATTTGGATACAGCTGAAATCATTTAGCATGTCCATTATAAATCATAGAAAAAAATAAACCATATTTTATATACTCTTACCTAAAACCTTCTCTCCAGCTTTCAACATGGGTAACTTTGAATGTACAGAAATAATAAGTCCTCCCTCTGCCATAAAAAGAATGTCTTTATTAAAATAGCCATTACAATGGCTCTTTCTCCTAATTTTCTTTAGGCAAATTGGCTTATTCCTACTAAAGGTACATAGAGGCCTTTCTACAAATTGGCCTACACTTTAGGCCAATGCAGTCTATATACAGGTAATTCCTCAGGACAGATCATACCTGCAATTTCCTCAACACAGTGTTTGTTTTTATATTTGCTATTCCTTTTTTTTTTCAACCCTGAAATTGAAATTACCTATCCCACATACATTCTTCATCACATTTGGCATACCATATTCACAATTTCACTCTTCCCTTCCTCCTCACTACTTCCATAATCTAATCATCTCTCTCTACACATATCTCCCATACGTATGTGTTTCAACCACTGCAATACAGTCTGCATTGGACTTCTGAACATTTTTGTTGGATTTTTAATCCCCCTTCCTTTAGATTTCTTTTCTCAAACATTATGCTGATTATACGGTCAGTGTTAAGTGTCAGTCAGAAAAGTATAATTTACTATGTCCACAGGGAAAAACAATCCAATGTAACGATGGTGCATTTAATACAAGGTGATACTCAGAAGGAGCTGTACGGAAGGAGATGTACGTAAAGGTGATGAGGAACATTTGTGCACACTCAGATAGGGCAACAAAAATACTGTTTGCTTTCTTACTGAGGTATAATCAAAGAAGGAAGAACCCAATCTCATCCTTGGCTTCTATGTTTTGACACGTGTAACATTATTAGTGGACAACTAGCATTACTTTAGAAAAGATATAAACAGTTGTTGACAAAGATTAATGCATCATTTATGTGAGAAAATGTGCTAAGGAAAACTCCCAGTGTGACCATTCATGAGACTCTCTGGCAGTTACACTCTCAATGCAGACACTTCAACTGCTGGACCTGAGATCTCTTCAGTAGCCGGCTCCAGTCAACAAACAAGGAGCCAATTCTATCCTAGAAGTTTTCAAAAAGGTAGAAACTTTGCACAAACAAAGTTTACAAATACCAAAGGCCTGCTCATTCTCCATTTTTCTGTAAGAGTTGAACATAAATGCATAGAACCTGACCTTACACTTCAATCAATACAAATACTAGAACTGCTATAAAGTATCCTACATGGCACTAACTGGTTACCAGTTTTCAGCACTGACCAGCACTTCACAAATTCAGTACGTAATATTGTATGTACATCTGATATGGAGAAAATAAGCAACCATGGAGCACTATCAAACTGCCATCTTGTACCTTAAAAAGTGAAATACAGAAATAGCAAGGAACAAGTCATACAAACAACATGTATTAACATCTGTAATTATGAAAGAAGATCTAAATCAAATAATAATCCAGATTGTATTTCACAAAGGAAAATAGTCTTTCACTCAGAAATCTTACAAAAGAGTTATAGACAAATCTCCTACAAAGTTTAGCTAAGTTCAATCATCGTACTATAGTAATGGAACTACAAAGCACTACAAACTGAGTCTACACAACAGGAAAAAAATATGAGTGAAAGGTATGAGACTCTGAAACACACATAAAAATGCACTGGAATTTAAGAACGTAACAAATGCTGAAGAGTTTAATTTAGAGAGAAGTGCTCTACCAGCACAGAAATTAATCACACTGTTTAATAAAATATGTCTAGTTCTCATATTACTGATTTGGAAAATAGGAAGTCAGATTTTGATGAAAAACATAAATGTCATCCAGAATACCCATCATATGGACAGCTATTTTCTGTGTTTTCCGGAAAAGTCCTAGACAGTCATCATGGCTTTCACACTGAATCTCCATTTTCTATCTCCATACTTTTCCTTTTTAGCTCCCCATTTATTTCTGCTTCTATTTCTTCTAAAGCTCATGGGTGCTGCATAGGAATAACCACCTCATGTAACACAACAGCACATTGTGCTGGCTGCTACACAAATCTTCCTTCTCTGCCAAATTTACATTATGGGTTATTGATTGTCATATCACAAAAACTTTCATGATATTGTGTATATATCTGCATGCATTCAAGTCTGGAAACGCAAAGAACAGTACTTTTAATATTTACATTTGTTTTATACTTACTTGAACATCCAAACAGATGAAGAAATGATATAGTCAATAATTTCAGAAACATATGCATTATTTAAAGGAAAAACGTAAATATTCAGTAACATAAAGTAAACTTCTGTGAGCTACTGCATGAATTATATAACAAATAACAGCTAGAATCATGTATGAGTACTACCAGAGCTTGTCAGATGCTCTAGTTAAGGAAAAGATCTTGAAAATAGCTTGCTTTTCTCTGGTTATTTTCATTCCAGCAAACTAAAATTTATAAAAGTAGAGCAAAAGTTCCTTTAGCATCTTGCACAAAACCAAGTTCTTCATTAAATTGTAAAGAACTATTATTAGGAATTTTTTTTTTAAGTCCTCTCAAAATTAACAGCCACATACCTGCTGCTGAACTGGTACTTGCTGCACTACCTGCGTGGGCACTGCTGCCTGGCCAGCCGCAGATGTCTGTAAAGTCACAGTTGAACCTGTATCCGCCCCAGTCTCTGATGTCTGCATTGTGATCTCTGAATAAAATTAAAATATAAAATCCAAAAGTTAGTGCAGAAATGTTTTTATTTTGCCACTTACATTAGCACACTAATTTGTCCCTTATTTATATTAATATTTTTAAATTAGCTAATACCAATTGTGTTAGAAGCCCAAATATTTTTCCCCCTGCTAGCACACAAGTTTGTATAAATAAAGTTTTATGTTATTTTTATCTTACTTAGATTTGAAATATCTTTTGCTTACATATGAAAAAATGTGTCACTTATCTGAGCTTTGTCCCTTTAGGAATAAGTAAGAAAAATCAGCAGCAGATCTTCTCTCAGCTTGTAAATAACTCGTCAGCATTCAAAACCATTTTTTCTCTGTCTTACTGAATTACACTAAAATCTCTATACATTCACATTCGAAGTTGAACTTGAAGCAGGCCACAGAATGAAGGCCTCTACTCTGGAAAATAACCTCTGAAAAGCATTTAATGAGTCACAGCGAAAGAACCACTCAAATAACCTTCTTCAGTAGAAAGCATTAAAGCAATTATTAAGACATTTTTTGACTCTAAAACCATTAGAAGTACATAAATGGTAGACAAGTGCTTATGATCATGGCCCTGATGTTTAAAGGGATGTTTAAAATTTGGGTAGAATAAAGAAATGGTTCAAGAATCAAGGGAAAGGCCTGACAAAGAAAATTTATCAGAAAGACAACCAAGAATGACATGTCTTCATATGCAACAGAGTTTGTGAGCTGAAGATTCCTCAAATTTGCACAGCCAAAATGACTATACAACTGAATGGTGACAAACCAAAATGAATTCAAAATTGTGAACCAGCATTTTATTTCCCTTTCTTCTTAAATTTCTTTAAAGCAGTGGATGAGTAACCAGTGAAAATAATAAACAGATGAGGCAGGTTCTTCTTCACTTGGTACCTTCAAAACAGAAGACTGTACGTGTCTGTGAAGAATCACAGTGAAGAAACACTAACTACTAGTCTGTAATCCAAATGTTCTGTGAAAACTTTTACTGCCCTCAGTCTCTATTAAACTATATTAGCTACAAAACACTTTGGCAATCTGAGAACCACTGTCACTAAAAATTAGTAGCTTTATCATGCATAATAAAAGAGATTTATATGAAAAAAAATCTATAGATACTTAGAATGACTTATGCAAGTGATTTTTTTTCAGTTTAACTCATGAGATCCAGGTGGCTGACAGCGAAGAAAATTTAATCCCTACCACCACTACCAAATAACAAGCTCCCCCAAAAACTCAACAATTTTTTTGAGACAAAACCATAATAAAAATATTGAGGGACATACCACTAGATAACAGGAGGAATTAATTACTGTATGAAAAAGAATTCAGTGTTCTCTTTGCTTAACAACAGAGCCAGCTGTCAACAACAAACTTTCCCCTCAAGGCTGGGTTCAATAGCAGTTTAAGCTGATTTAAGACTGGATTTCTGCAGTTCCTCCCTCCAACTGTCTCTAGTTCACTTTGCATTTAAATGTAGTCACTGCAAAGCAGGAAACAGGTATATAAATTTGGTATGAGGTCAGGCGACAGGCAAGGACCTTGCCAATTGGGACCATGCTTGGTTTAAACTCCAGGAATCATGCCTATGGCACACCTGATTGATTTAAATTCCTCTTCTGAAATATTCAGAAAGACTGATAAATTTTTCATCAAACTAATTTCAGATTAATCAACAGACTCTCAGAGTCTCATGTTAACTGAACCCTCTACTTTTAAGCAGTGGATACACTTCAGGACCCAGCACACCTGACAAAAATCAGCATACAGAAGAAAAAGAATAAAGAAGTAGAACTTCAAATTACATTTATATGTTAAAACCTTAACAATTAAAATGGATGTCCACACAATAAATATGGAGTTGGAAGCCTCCATGCTTCTAGAAAGTTACAACCTAGTTGTGATTACTCAAAGGTGGTGAGATGAACCCCATGGCTGGAGTGCAGGCTGTTTAAAAACAGGTGAGGAAGGAGAGATGGGTATATTGTGTTTGTCTGGCAAGGCTTGGGTAGCAAGCAAGGGAGAACTACATGGGTGGCTTCTCTGAGAAGCTGCCAGAAGCTTCCCCTATATCTGATGAAGACAGTGCCAGCTGGATCCAAGATGGAACTATTGCTCACCAAGGCTAAGCCCTGAGCCCATCAGGGACAGTGGTAGTGCCTCTGAGAGAACATATCGAAGAAGTGGGGGGAAAAAGTTATCGGACAGAAGCAAATAGCAGTCACAGAAGAAGGGAGTGAGAGTACGTGAGAGAACCTGCAGACATGCCAGTGGAAAAGCAGGCTCCAGAAGGTGCCTGAGCTGAGGTAGGAGCAGGTTTGCTGGACTGTGACTCCAGGGGAAAGTCATGCTGGAGCAGCCTGGTCCCATGCTGGAGCAGTTTTTGAAGAACTGTAGCCCATAGGAATGACTCACAGAGAAATGCATGGAGGACCGTTTTCTGTAGGAAGGTCCCTACACAGAAGCTGAGGAAGAACATGAGGAGTTCAGCCCCCGAGAAGGAAACAGCCACAAAAACAATGTGTAAGGAACTGATGGTAATCCCCGTTCTGAATTCCCCTGAGCTGTTGGAAGGGAGGAGGTAGAGAATCAGGAATAAAGTTAAGCCTGGGAGGAACTGAAGCGTGTGGGGAAGGTTTTTTAAGATTTAGGTTTATTTCTTACTATCTTACGCTGATCTGATTGGCAATAAATTCAAATAATTTTCCTCAGGTCAAATCTGTTTTCACTCTCATGGTGAGTGATCCTTCCCTGTTGTTATTTTCATCAATGAGCTTTTAGTTACATTTTCTCTCACTTGTCCAGCTGAGGACTGGGGGAGCGACAGAGTGGTTTTGGTGAGCACCTGGCATTCAGCCAGGACTGCTACCATTGTTCTGGTTTAAGCCTGTATCCTAAACACTAAATTTTATTATAGTTCGGTACATTGTACAGATTTTTCCCTCTAGATGCCATATGATATGGTCTGACAGTTCACCTTAAATATATTCCTAGTTTTTCTAGCATCATGTCAATGATGCAGTCAGTGTAATTCCTTTACATTTTATTAATATTGAGAACACACTGCTGGTTTTGGCTAGGGCAAAATTAACCTCCTTCACAGTGGCTGGCATTGGGCTGTGCTGAACACAGAGCTGAAAATACAGAGATAATTTTGTTACTGCTGAGCCAGGCTTGCACAGAGCCAAGGCCTTTTCTGCTTTCGGTACTGCTACACTGGGGAGGGGACCGGGGATGCTCAGATCAGGAGGAGATGCAGCCAGGACAGGTGACCCCAGCTGACCAAAGGGATATTCCAGACCATGTGGCATCATGCTCAGTGTATAGAGTGAGAGAAGGAGAAGGAGGTGGGGGGCATTTGGAGCAATGGTGTTTTTCTTCCCAAGTCACTGTTATGTGCGATGGGGCCCTGCTCTCCTGGAGCTGGCTGAACACCTGCCTGCCCATGGGAAGCACAGATTTAATCCCATGCTTTACTTTCCTTGTGTGTGTGGCTTCTGCTCTCCCTTTTAAACTGTTCTTATCTCAACCCCTGAGCTCTTCAGCTTTTACCCTTCTGATTCTCTCCCCAACCCCACTGGTGGGAGAGGAGTGGCTGCGGGGGCTTGGCTGTTGGCTAGGATTAAAGCCACAACAATAATCTAAATGAAAACTCTCCCATTTTCCCCCTGACCCTCCATGTAAGTAAAGGAAGTGAATATTACAGCAGAAAAGACGTCATCCTTGCCTAATTGGACCGTCAGGTGTATGACAAACAACAGATGAATGTTTGACAAGGTCCTTTTTATTCTGCCTAATTAAGCAGTTGGACACACCCATCTGTTAATGGTATTGCTTTGTATAGCCAGTGCTTGTTGCATGATGTGAATGTAAGCTAAACAGGCCACATTCTGAAAGAAGACTAATTAACCTCTCCAAATGGGAAAAGAAACTGTCGGGACCCAGCTGCTGAATGCAACAAGGTTAGTATTTCCTCTGTAAAATGGGCAGAACTTAGGCAAAGCTGAAAATTATTGCTTTCCTATAAATTCTGTGCAGTTTCATGTTGTCTGTTAAATTCCCTAAAGATTTTTTAATATACCCAAATTCTCAGTTGGAATCCTTCTGTTTTCTTGACTGGAAATATGAAGACAGAATGATTTAAGAGTGTAACTTACTCTAACACTTATCAAATGGGATTGTTAAAATGTGTCAGATCATGATTTATTTTGTTCCTGGACTACTTCACACTGAACTAATTTACTTTTTTAAGCGATCAGAGTTTGCAAAGTTTTGTTAGCTACATATGCTTTATTGTCTAGATAAAATAATGTAGCAGGCTTTAATTCAATGCAGAAAATGAAAGCCTGTAATTTACCTTCAAGTGCAGCAGGAAATTTCTTTTTTCTCCTCTAGAAGCCTAAACAAAACATCACAGAAGATAAACTGAACTAGATCTCATAATCACATGCAGTAATGGCAGGCTTTTAATAGTCAGAATAAAAGGCTAATCTTAAGATCTTATCTATTTATAATGATGAATAACCAGTATACTAATTAAGAATTTGCACCAACATAATGTGTTTCACAATAAAGGAAAACTCAAAACATTGTTTCAGCAATTAATAGGGAAAACTTGGTTCCTGAAGAAGAGTATAAATGGAAACAGTTTTCAGTACTATACTAGTTTCACATAAGCATTCCATTTCAATTTTTGTATAAACAAAAACTTTATGAATAATTGACTTCATAACTGTGTTGTGTTACCCCAGAGCAGAAGACAGATTATGCAAGCTATTCACGGAGGAAGAACAGAATATTACAACAGTTTCTAGATACTAATGTATTTTCATGTTACAACCCCAGTGTCTTACTAAACACTGTTTGATTGTTTGTCTTCTCCCAAGGTTCTTGTGAATATCAAAGTAGGTAGCTGGACTCTGCCTGGTATTAGTACTAGTTGCTAAATATTGTAGTTAGTAATACAAATTCCCTTACTCTTTTTTCAACTTTTCACAGATTTATGGAAAAATAAAAGTTAACTGAATGGCACAGAATGAAGTTTAGAAGCTGCCTCTCTGCACTTACATATATAGTTCCAAGTAGTAAAACCCTCTAAAAGAGTAACATATTGGAAGGGACCTGTGCAAGTAGAAACTCCTGGTAACTCCTTCAAAGAAAGTCCATAATATAAAAAAGCATTGTCTTCACAATCAGTTTACTAAATCCCTAAGAATAGTACAACTCAACAACAGTCATAATGAAATCCCATATTGCCAGGAGATCACAGCACATGAGCGCTTAGATTGAATGACTACTTACTTCATGGAACTCTCACTTTGATATACTTATTAATTTTACCTTCAAAACCATCAAAATTATATCTTCTCTTGCTGGAAAATTAATCAGTTTTACACAGCAACTTTACCCATTAGTACACACCAGCACCAAGATTACATTCACTTACAGGTTAAAGCCTCTCAAAATTTTTGTTCTGAGAAGACTAGCAAACCATCAAACAATTACATTTATGATATTCTAAAGCATTAGTTCATCCACTAGAGAGTTTGTGAGTAGAAAAGTCCAAGAGATTACTTCCTTCATCCTGGGTGAAAGGGTGTGAGGAGGAGGGCACTGATATTGCATGTCAACCAGCACTTGATCGTAGAACCAGTATTGGCAACAGGGCTTTGGCTTTTATGACCATGGGACCCTCTCTGAGGTTAACAGCTTAGGAGAGATGGGATGCACCTCATTAATTAGGACAGAGATAATTCTGTGTGCATCACAGCTGACCTGGTGGGAAGGGACTGGAAAAAGCAGTGGTATGGGGAGGGAAGTATTTTCCAGCAGCCCAGTGAAGGAATGGTGGACAGGTTCAACAAGCAAAGGCCTGGGGTGACATGAATGAAAGGCAACATACAGTCAAAAAATTAGGCTTAAGGAGGGTCACCTCAAGTATGTGCATATGAGCAAGGAAGTGGCTACAAGGCATGTTTATGAGAAAGCCACACAGATCTTCTTTTAGAAATCAGCATGTTGAAGTGCCTCTCTGAAAAGCTGGGCCTCTCTGAAAAGCTTCACACATATGTGTGAAGGGGTATACAATGGCCTCACACTCAGTATGGTGAATAAACACGAGCAATAGAGACCTCTGTGCACTTGCAGGACTATCACCTTGTTAAGATGACAGTGATGTGCTGGGACAGCAAACATGACTGAATGGCAGCAATGGAGGGACATAAGCTATCTAACTTTACAGTTTGTTTTTTTCAGAATTAAAAATGTCTTCAGGAAACAACCAAGACTGAAGTTTACAGGAGCTTCCTTGTTGGGATAGTATTTTGTAGTGTTTAACCAGAAATAAGTTTTGATAAAGAATTTTATTACAGAACATTTCTACAAGTTTAGTGTGCTTTCTAAGTTGCTATTTACACTGCTAAGTCTAGTGCATTATGGCTTTTAATTCACACTTAGTCAAGCATTATCCATCTTTAATAGTACTCAGATACTTTTCAGATACTGAGGCATCTGTCTTTATTATATTAGCATAACTGTCATGGGCTGGAATAAGCATGTTCACAATCTTTCAGAAATATCTCTATGCAGAATGATAGTTACAATATCATATGAAATTTCTAACTTGAGCCAAGATCTTATTCTAGGGCACTAATAATAACAGCAGAATTAATTATATTGTCTAACATATATAATTCTACTTCTTCACACCTTTCAAAATTATTGACAACAAAATGTATTTCGATTACTTTATGAGAAAAACATGAAAGCAGGAGAACCACCTGAACAAACAGCTTCTTTTGCTTCTGCATAATTGATACAGTTATGAAAGGAGATCTCTAGGTTGCTTCAGAATTGAGTTATGGGTGTTTGGGTGGGTTTTTTTTCTTCTCGTATGACATTGTGCTGCAGTCCTTTCATCAAAAGACTGAGCATATACCTAATAATAATGAAATAAAGGGAGAAAAAGTGATGTCAAAATGGAGACTATATTTATTTTGACCACTCAGTAGAACAAAACATAAAATGAATAAGTAAAAACATTATAGCTGGAAAAATCTACTTTATTAACAAAATGAGCAGAAATAGCTTATGTTCCCCATGTGTCACCTCTGTGTCACAAATTTTCTATTTGTGATTCTTACTGTTGGATTTTCACCGATTGACAGTACAGTCTCAGAGACTGGAAGGGACCTGCTCAAGCAATGCTACCTACCTTCCTTCTGCCCAGGACCACATCCAGGTGACTTTTGAATATAGCCAAGAATAGGAACACCACAGCCTCTATGGGCAACCTGTGCCCATACTTGGTCAGCCTCACAGAAAAAGCTTTGGTTCAGGTTGAGAGAGGACCACCTCTTGTATATACACTGGGCACCACTGTAGAGTCAGATCTGCCTTAGCCCATGACATAACTTAACACTTAAAAGTTATGGTATTATTAATACACTGACATCTTTCAAATCCCTCAGTTAGCAATTTCTTCACCAGGTGTAAGAAGAAGGAAACATTTAATGTCAGAATT